TAGTTTTTTTATATCATTAGTTAAGCATTATAAAATCAAAGTTATACTAAAAAAATTTCAAATTGGATTAACCTATTTAGCACTTTAATATAATATTAAATTTAATTAATTATTTAATAATTAAATATTAATCATTTATTATATTTTAAAATAATATAGTTTATTCTAAATCTTAATAATTTAAAATTAAATTAAAAATTTTAGATTAATTAATTTACCCCTTAATCTGTTCAGCAAGAAAATTTACCCACTAAAATTATTTTTGATTAACTTTCATATAATTACTTATAATTTTATTAAGTATTATCCCCTATTACTAAGCAAATATAAGAGTATGCTATCTCGCTAATCAACTCATAATTTCATTTTCATATTTCTTTTAATAAATTTTAAAGTCTTTTTCTTTCAAAAATAACTTTCAGGTTTATGTTTTCTTCAGCTAAACCAAATGTAAATTCAATTTCAAGTTTTTTTTCTCTCAGAAATGCAAAAATATATGCTGATGATGATAAAGAATATGTTTTACTTTTGATATTCTACTAACGTTTCTTAGATAATTTGAAATCCAATATTGAGAATGATAAAAAGAAGGACATCACAAATATTCATAAGAATAGACATAAAGTAGTAATACAACTGCCATCATCATCTAATTTGAATATTTTATCTATCTGAACCATTATATCAGATGTTTATTAATTTGGCAGCATATTTTGATATAGGTTTTTCAAAACTAATCAATTTTTTTCTTCATTTTTTACAAACAATATGTTAGATACAATAGTTATAAATACAAATTTGTATTCATTATCAAAAAATGCCAGTAGTATTAGAAAGCAGTGATAAAATATAAATCATAAAGAGCTAATTATATGGATTGCTTTGGTTATTTACTAAGAACTTTTTAAATTTTTTCACTAAATTAATACTAGAATAAGGTACAAAGTTTTTAATCCATACTATTTTGAAATAAATATCATTAAACATTTTAAGTGAATTAAAAGATATCTGTATGCCTCTTTTTCTACAGTTACAATCAACAATTATTTTGAAAAACTAGAACAATTATTTTTAAAATTCTGTGATATTTCAAAACAGTTTTATACTTCAAGTTCAAATATTTTAGTAAATGAAATAATGGTATGATTTTCTAAAAGAAGTATTCATACAGTCAGAATAAAGAATAAACTAACCCCTGAGAGTTTTAAAATCTTATCTTTTATAAATCAGAATATACATATACTTTTTAATAATATTATGTATCTCTTTAAATGATATATCAAAAGTAAATTGTTTTAATCAAACTGGATGTCTGATCTACTATCTTATTATATAACTTTCATATCATTGCATTTTATATAATGTCTACATGAATAACTATTTTTACAATATTCTTTATTTTAAAACCTTTAGCAAATAGAAATTAATGCTTATAAAACTATCTTTGAGATTTTCTAAAAAAATTATAAATAGATAAAAGTACCAATTAGATTAAAATGTTCATTCTAATATTATAGTAAATGAAGTATTATTTATTTTTTGGCAAGATAATAGACCAGTTATAATATTATCAATAGTTCACAGTTTTATTGATAAAAAATGAGAGATAGAACACAACAGATGTCAATTAAGAGTAACAAATATAAATGTAGCAAAGGTTTTTATTTTATTATTTAATTCAAAAATTTTTTTATTATTTTTATCATATTTATTTATTTATATTTTTTTTAAATAAGATACATTATGATTTTTAATACTTTTGATACTGATTCAAAAAAATTTTAAAATCTCCAATATAGTTAATGATTACAACTACTATATAAATAGTATAGATATTGCAGACTAATTGCATTCATATTATAATACATAATAAATAGTATGAAGGAACTGAATGCCTCTTTTTTGGCTATTAGATACTGCAATAGTTAATGATTATTAAATTGGCTAAACATTAGGATTATACATAAAGTCGAAATGAAAACTCAAAAGTTGAAATGTTTCAATCTTAAAAGTCAATGTCAAAATGAAAAGTCGAAATGGTCGAAATTATGTCATATCACATGATTTTTTATATATAGAAAAAACAAAAAAAAATAAAGATGTATAATCTCAGTCAATATCGCTCTGATTTATATAAAACTACTACCATTCGATTCCTAGTGATTAGATGAATTTAATGAGCTAAACATTATTAATTTTAGATTAGCCTATTATGAGATATCTACGATCGTATTTCGAAATCTGGACTTTTTATTTAAAGTAGAATTTATTGATTCATAATTTCAGCCGATAATACAATTGTGATTATCTTGAGATTAGATAATCTGAAATCAATGAATATTAGCTTATTGGATTGTTTAATTGCGAGGAATCAAATTCGAATGGTAGTTGTATCATATGAATCAAAGCGATTTTGACCGAGATCATGCATCTTTTATTTTTATTTTTTCTATATATAAAAATCATGTGATATGATATCATTTCAACCATTTTGACTTTTCAACTCTAATAGTCAAAATGATTTCGACTATTTCGACCATTTCAGATATCTGAAATGATCTATTTCGACTTCATGTATAATTAGGATCAGCATAAGAATAAAAAAATTTCATTATGAACTTGTTTGGAATCTTATTAATCTTATGAATGATACTATAGAAATTCAATTAATAACTAGCTTAAAAAGAAACAAAATAAAAAATAAAAAAAACCAAATAGCTAAAAATAGCAAAAAACTTTTAACTTTCAAATCAACGACTTATTCCTGAAAATTATTTGACAGAGTAAAAAAAGAAATGAGAAGTATATTAATAGTATACTTGGTTAACAAACAAATAAGAATTAAATATGAATTATAAAATGTTATATTAAAGTCAATTTTGGTATTTAATATATAAAGTACATCCTTTGCTATAATAATAATTGATATTGTTTTCGTGATTTGCATATTAAAAATTAAATTTTATTGTGGATTTTTTATATTGGTTTTATTAAAAGCATAAGATTTAAAAATTTTTTTTAAAGCAAATTATTGTAATTAAATTAATTGTAAAAATATAAGTTTATTTTTAATAAAAGTATATTTTTTTCAATTATAATATAGAAGCAATGTAAATATATTAATTTAATCAATTTAGTTTATCTAATTTTTTTAATAACATAAAATATTAATATGAATAGATACTTATATTGCATAATAATTTTTATTCGTTTAGATATAAAATTTATGATATAAACTGCTCAAATAGTTTTTAAAGATTTGGTCACTTAAAGTATCACACAGCTGAAATATAACAAATACTACATAATTTAAATTTGCAACTATTTTTTAAGTCACATAGTATATGCTATAATGTGGCTTAATAATTTTTATATGACCTGACTTTCTAAGAATTGATCTAGTCAGTTTAAGTTAACTTTTAAATAGAAAATTTTTATTTAGGTCAAATTTTTTCATATTATTTTTGCAGGCAAATTTGTCTGTTAAAAGAAATGGTTTAAGGAATATAATAATTTTTAAACTTTTGTTTAAATTAAATATATTTATAAATTAAGAAAATTCTTAATAAATTTAACAAATAAATTATAATTTATTTTATTTTTTAATTATCTAATTAGAAAAAAAATATGAATTTAATTATAATTAATTATATAATTAAATAAAAAATTAGATTAAACTAAAAAAAAAAAAAAATTAAATTAATTATAGTTTTTAATATTTAAGTTTATAATGTTTTTTATAATTTAATTTATTTATAATTAATTATATTTTATATAAATCATCTTGTTAACATTTTTTTTTTAATAATTTTAATATTTTAAATCAAAATTTTTCTTTAATTTTTAAAAAATATAATAAAGAATATATTATTTAATATAAAATACATGTATTAATATAGTTTAATTAGCTTTTAAAATTAATAATATTATGTAATTATAAAGAAACAATGAATTATAAAATTTTTTTTTTAATAACTATTTTAATAGAATATTATTTAATATCAATATTTTTTAATAAAAAAATTTAATAAAAGATATCTTTAGATGTAAAAAATAAAAAAAATATAAATTATTTTTAAATATCAAATATGATTTTATTTATAAAAAAACTATTATCATTATATTTACCTGTTTTAAAAAATAACTTTATTTTAAAAAATTTTATATAACGATAACGATAAGGTTATATAATTATTAATAATATATTTTTAATATAATATTTTATAACATATATAACTTTTATAATTATATAAATATAAATTAAGTTCTATTAAAATTTAATTTTAGATTTAAATCTAAATGAAAAAGTACTATCTCAAATGGCTAAGAAATTTTAATATCGTTTATTAGTAATAATTTTAATACTGAAATAGAAATTAAATTTTTAACTTAAAGCAATATCACTAGATATATGGGAACGTCCAATGACTATTTTACAAGAATTCGTAGAAACTTTATGATACTAAGATAACTCAATTCCAAAAATGTCCGAACAAAAAAAAAGTCATAATTCGGTCAATATTATTCTAATTTACATGAAATTAATTTCGTCTCTATGAGACGAATGAGTTATAATTATCAAACTTTGCAATCGATAAATTTTGAAGCATAAATTTTATTATAATTTTATTCATTTGAAGTGAAAAGGTATTAACCGACCAGTATGAAATTGGAAGTTTTTAGGACCTGTATTAATATTTTACCGAAAACAGCAGAACTTGATATAACCGTATATAGAAACATTTAGGATTCTTCAAATTTATCATCCTTATCGTTGTTTTTACTTTTCATTTTACAAGGAAAAAAAAGACCTTTCTTGTGTTGCTTTGATATTTTTAGTAGAAAAAATGATCATCTTGGAGTGCAAAATATCCACCTCCCCATATATAAGCGCAATTTTAGAATAGAACTTTCAATTTTGATATAATGCAAGAGATTTAAGAAATTCAATCTAATTTATTAGCAAACAATATGAATAATATGACCCATATATATTTAATCTATCCATTAATATCGTCATTCGCATTCCCTTTTGCTAGATCTTTGAGTATCTTTTCTATATTGCTACTTCTTTCGCTGTTAATCTCAATTTTGGCCTTCCACTCATCCCATTCCCTTTGAGTAGTCGGAAAACCTTTTTCAGCACGAACCAAATCTTCAGTAACCAATTGATTATCGATTAATCTAACGATATATTGACTCGGATAAAGTTTATCATCTGAAGAATCTACCAAAATTTCATCTCCAGCATTTAAAGAATGTTTCTCTAAAGAAAAAATCGAACATGTTTATTATGTTTATTTTTAAAAAGAAATATATATATATATTACTTTATAGTTCAATAAATTAAATCACCTTGACCATCTTCATAAATTTTCATGGATAAATGGGAAGTATTTGTCCAAACTATTGAATGAAATTTACTTGGTTTATCATATTCTAAATTGATATTTTTACATTGATCAATTTGTACGGTTTGAACTTGAGAATTTAGCTATATCAAAAGATAATTTTTTTTTTTAAAACAAACAAAAAAAATCATCAATAAATAAATAAGAAAACGTTAGATACCTTAATATTTATCCCATCGGATTTCCAGATTTCAATAATAGACGTAATGATTTTCTCATTCACGGTTAATTTTAAATCCTTACACTCCTCTACCAAAAAAAAAGAAATCGTTAATTAAAGATAAATTATATTTATATAAATATATATGTGGGATTTACCAATCATAATCTTGGTACAAACACCATTGACAACATATTCCATATCTTCGCATAATCTCAAGTATACGGTGGAATCTGAAGAAATCGAAGTGTCATCTAAATATTTTACTTGAGAGTTTTCTTGTTCCTATCAAAATAAAAATTTTTTCCTTCCTATTTAAAAAAAGATTTTTTTTTTTTGTAAAGAAAAAAGTGATATAAAACATGATCATTACAAAGAATTGTCGTCGTCTTAGTAATTGACTAACTAAGTTGGGGGCAGAATTTGGTGCTTGCGCTTGCTCTGGTGGTTGCTGCGGATGAGAAGCCATATTTTTTATTGGAATCAAACAATCAGATGACTAGCTTGAACGATTTATATCAAGTCTTTTTTCTTTTTCGTCAGAATATATATAGGCTATTTACGCCAAGTAAACCAAGAATTAGAAGATTAGTCAACTCCGATTCTGTATCTCCGATAATCTTGGCGCAGGCAAAGAAATCGGCAATTAAAATAAAGCAGAAAATAAGGTACTTGTATATATATTTATTTATAACAAAAAAAAAGATGAACTCTTTTTATTTCTAAATTCAAATAATAATTTAACTAAATTTATACTAGTTCGGTTAGCAATCACTAGTTTTGATTGGCTTAGAAAGAACTATTAAAATAACTATCAGCTTGACCACCCTGCCCGCTTTGACCACCATGATCACCACCCTGGCCACCACCTTGACCGCCTTGTGGACTGCCATGTGGGGGATAATAGGGTTGCGGACTAACATTACTTGAAGGCGGAGGTGGATAGTTTGTTCCACCTGATGATGTGTACTGAGGAGGGGGGCGATGGGTTGGTGATGAGCTTGGTAGCGGGTATTTTTTAGTCAAAGTATCTGTGCTAAGACGACCACCACGACCTGCTGCCAATTCAGCGGTTTGTTTTGCAGCAAAAAGTGCTTCCTTTTCCTTTCTTTTTTTTCTTCTGTATAATTGTAACAAAAGCATTCCTATTAACCCAAAAGATATTACGAATAATCCAATTGATAATATCAATTTCACTTTTGATGGAACCCCAGTTGTTGGTGGTGGTGGCCTATAATTTAAGCAAATAAGAATTAATCACAATTAATTTTTATTAAAAAAAAAAAAATTAATTTTGTATTTCAAAGGTGGAAATGCTTACATTTCTTGAGTGAATGTGATACCGAATGATTTGCATTTAGTTTCGTATTGTTCCATAGGGGCGATTTCAAATCCTGTCTCAGTTATATTAGTAAAACACTCCAAACATGTTTTCAACATGTTATAGTAAGGTTGATTGCACATACACCTCGCCAAACTGAAACCTATGTTTTATTCAAAAAGAAGAATGTATTAGTTAATGAGGAAGGAAGGAAAGATGAAAAGAAAAATATGAATTAATTGAACTTACTATCTGGTTGATAAGTGCCATTATGAATATTTTGCTCGATATACTTGTCAGGAGTCACCATAATCCCGTTACATAACTTTAAAATAGCATTAACATTTTTACACGCACTATCAGGTTCTGTGCAACTTTCTATAGTCGTTTCTTTTTCTTTAACTTCTTTATTTGATGGGTGCGATACGTTTGTAGTAGGTTCTGAATTTTTAGACGTTGCTTTAACCGTTGGACTTGGTGTATCTTCTGGCTCTTGCGCGATTACTACATTTCCCACCACCAAGTATAATAATATTATAAAGCATATAATTATATGAAATTTCCTTAATGTCATTATTATATTATATTATCAGACCGTATTATATACGGTTAAAAGAATTATCTAACTTGAAATTTTTTCTATTTGGTAAAGAAAAATGAATTTAAAATTCCTTCTTTCGTTTTTTTTTTATCTTTTATAACGTCAAGTGATAAAAGTATTTTGATATTTAAAGAAAAAAAAAAGAAAAGAAAATTTGAAGCAAAAAAATCCACCACAATTTCCACAAAAAACGTTTACCGATTAAAGGATTACATACAGGATTGTTTTTATATATATATATATATATATAATACACCTATTATTTATTTGGCTTAACATTTACGGACCAAAGGATAATTGTTACAAACATTGATTTATTACTAGGCCACGATTAAAATTTTCTTTTCCATATATTTTTAATAAAAAAAAAAGCCACCATTGGATTTTTCAAAGCCTTTATGTTACTCATAAAGGCAATCAATAAAGTTATTTGTTTATATTTAGCAAATCATTTTTATTCACGTTTCCTTGTACGTGGCGCAGCGTTCGATACCGCTAATTCAAAGGTTAAAAAAGCCAAGCTTCCCGTCAATAAAAAATACTAGATTAGAACAACACATTTAAAGTCCATTACTCGAAACCTTCTCCCCGTTTTAATTTTGTTTTTTAAACACATAATGAACAGGAGGGAAAAAGATCATCATCATATTCAATTTATTCAATTAAAAATTATCATTTGTCAATAAATTATTGAGATCAAGAAATATGAGCATGCATTTACGATGTATGTCACCATCCACGTCGTCAGCCTATCGGAAAGGAAGGGTTCAGGTTCTTGTTTGTTATCTCAATGATTGTTGTGATCAATAAGGTTAATAAAAGCTATGGATTCTTTGTGTAACCGCATTTTAGGGGCAAACTTTAATGTGAAACAAAAAAGAAATTTCATTGACGCAAACCTCACCTTGTTGGGTTAATTGTTTCAAAAGTCATTAAAATGTTTAATTCCTTGTAATATAATTTATTAACATGCAGAAATTTCGGAGAATCGTTTTCCGATTCCTTCAGGTTAAATTTATTGCCAGGATATGTCCTAAAAATTACTAAATTAGCTTTTATTTCGGTTGGCAGAAATAAAGCTAGTCGGTTAACAATAGTTGATTTGAACCTTTTAAAAAAGTAATAGCATTTTGTTTCGGAAAATTAAACTTATCACCATAGAAATCTGGTTTATGATCTGATGATAATCGGTCAAGCTTTAAGGCTTGGAATCACTTGCGGTCTTTATATTTGAATCGGGTTTTTACACATGTCATCTCATCTTCAAGCTTCCAAATGCCATTGCTTCTTAGAATTATTGTATATAGTTAAATGGATTATCCATTTAAGAAAAACGTGACAAAAGAAATTTTACTTAAAAGAGTATAAATTATTTATAATAGTAATTTTTTTTTATTTTACATAATAGTTCACAAATATTTTGTTCGTATATACAAACTATTTGATAATTCAGATATCATGCAGGATAATGTTGAAAAACGTATGGTTGTGAAGGAACATTACCACCACCACCACCAACATTAACGTTAACGACATTATCTGAATATTCATAACTTTGTCTGGGAGCTTGTATTTGCGACTGAATTGCATCCACATAATATTCTTGCTGACCATACGTTCCAGTATTGACAAAAGGATTATTTTGTTGACTTTGATCTTGCAATTCAATCTGTTGAGGTTGATGAGCTAACGGTGGTGGCATGGGAGCCTCAGGGGAATACAATTTTTCATCATTTTCATTCACAACATTCCTTGTTCCGATTTCAATCCCCCTTCCCTTGTTTTTTGGATATGAATAAAAATCCGTTTTCAACTGTTCATAGGCCCGTGACTTCTTCTTGTTCTTTTTAAAGGCAACCAGACAGAACAATAAACTTGCCAATAACGTTATCAACGAACTAATACCTAGCGCAAGTAAAAGTTTATTAGGACCTTTCTTCTTGCTAGAAAAAAAAAAGAAAAGTTTTTAATTAGAAAGAATAAATCTTGAAAAAAGGAAATAAAAAAAAAGTGAGGTAAAGATTTCAGCAATGACACTTGCCTTTGTTCTTGTTCTGTAGCTGCTGATTCCACCTGTTGGTCGATAAATTCTACATTCTGTGCTTTACAATCATTTTTATAATCTTCTAACGGTCTAATTCGTGTTTCAACGTTAGGTGGCAAAGAGAAACATCTCATACAACTTGATATTAAATCATAAAATTCTTTATTACACCAGCATTTTGCTTCTTGGGGTTCTACGTAATAAATTTCACAAGAAGGAAAAGAAGATTTTTTAAAAATTTTCCTTAGTTTCGAATTTCTTTTATGCGTGATTTTTTATGATAATACTTACCATCAACCCAATACATGAATTCATCATCAGAGTCAGGTCGAGTTAATGTTTCATTACAAGGTTCTAATAATTTATCAACTTTGTTACAAGGATTGTCCGGAGAATCATTTTGGCAATTTATATCATCTGTTTGAGCAAAGGATAATTGGATTAAATCATTAGAAAGGAGGATTAAGGTTAGAGTTACAATCAGGGATGTTGTTAACTTTCTGTATTTATACATTTTATTAATTTATTTATTTTTTGAAAAGAAAGTTAACGAAAAAAAAAAATTCCTCTTTAAGATGACGAAGAAAAAATTTTCTCAAGAAAAAAAAAACCCGCTTGTTTTTTTTATTTATTTTGCCTTATCAGTTATTCTTACTGTACTTTTATCTAAACTCGATTAGTAAATAAATTTGGATAATCCAACTTTATATATTTAAACATTGATTTTTAAAAAGGTTTCCTCAAGCTTAATTTAGAGTTTATTATACTAAAAATAATTTCAAAGGGAGTTCAAAATGAGGTGAGGTTATTAAGGCATAGTATGGAAATGAAAACTAACTATGGTAATTTGATTTACTTTCAACTTTATACAAATAATGACATACTGTACGCTCACTTTAATGCTTCATTACGTAATCTCCCACATCTAATTAATTGCGGTAATTTGTGAATCCAATTTAATTTCGGTCAGAAATTTTCCCATAGTTATTATATATATTTTTTTTTCTAGATATGTATCTCTTGCATAAATAGATTATCATTTTTCAATTCAATTCATTATATTCATTATTAAAGATTCAATAATGCAAATAGACAAACGTAAACAATAGTTCGAAAATTTTTTTTTTTGACGAGTTTGGTAAGAATTTTCTTTAAAAAATCCTTGACACATTTAGATGCGTGAAAAATGTCCCTTTCAAATATATCAAATGATTTTATTAATAGAACACAATTATAATTACTTTTAAATTTTTTTTATATCAAATATTTATTTACACATAATAAAAACGACGATCGGTATATCATATGCATTAAATATAATTGGTTCCGCGTGAAAAACAAATTTTTATAAAAATAAGGATTTTAATAAATAAAAAATAAAAAATAAAAATAGATTCCCATATACCATTTAAAATCATAATCAAAAAAATTTATCCAAGTACATTCTATAAATTAAAAAAAATTTATACCTTTCTTACTTACCATTCATTATTGTTATCCTCGAATAACTTTTCCTCAACAATTTTATTATCTTCCATAAAACAAAACTCTTAAAAACAATGTTATTTTATAGATTTTTCTTCTGATATTTGAGTGATTAAAAAAGATTTACCCGATTTTTCCTCGAACTTTCCAGCATTTGAAGTGATTAAATGACTCTTCAAACTCTTTTTATCTTTGCACTCCTTATAATACTAAAAGTCTACTCGAATATATCGCTCCTGAATTATTTGTTACGGACTCATGGCTCAATTTCTGACATTTCATTAATTCCTGTCGTATTTTTTTTTTTCAACACTCAACATGTCAAGTAATTTCTTTTCTATATCAGAAGTCGAGATCCAAACATTCTTGCATTAATTCAATGGTGCACTCGTGACAATTGGACGTAAACCATAGTAAATATCAACGATAAGGTCTGAATTGTGAATTCTATCCCAAAAAGGTCTTCTACCTGTCATGAATTCCACATGATTAAGCCGATAAACATCCGAAGCCGTAGTTTATTTACTTGCTTGAAAATTTCCGGAGCGACATAAGGTATGACCCATAAATCTCATCATCACCATCTGTCGATTCCATTGAAGATTTTCTTAAAGTCTCATAATTTACCTACTTTGTCCATCAGAATGTTTCCACTATGGAAATCTTGATGAAAGTTCTTGCATCATGAATACACTCGAGACTTTCGATTATATATGTATCTCAATTTGTCCAATCGGGTTTCCCAACTGATATTAATAATGCACACATAAACGAGTTGAATGTATCTCTCCTTTTCGATTTCAAATTATGATCATAGAATACCCTATAAAAAATTTTCGTCCGAATATTTCCATTATTTCTCCTTCATGGAAATGAGCCTTTCACGGAAAAAACATGGATAACAAAACACGGACCAACTTTTTTTATAGGGATATGCTTTAAGCTGAATTTTCTCGAGAAAACATAAGATAATCGTTTTTTTTTTTAAAATGACCATTCCTTTCATACCGTTGAAAAGCAGGTTACAGAAAGATTTTATTACCAGATCAATTCCTTGAAAGTGATGCCTTCAGAATTCAAAAGTCTTTTGAGAGCAATTGCGCCCCGTTTAAAATTTCGAGTCCCAAAACCAAATATGACCTTCAATCCAAGTGGCTTTATAAACCTTGCTAAATTGGGAACAAATTCCAACATTCTAACCTCTAAATGACTATTGATTTGCGTGTGCTTTATGAAAACATATCCCTATAAATGGCAAATTCGACAAATCTTGTGACCTTCGTCTTTCTTTTATTACATTCTTCGCATTTCTCATAAATTGTTCTATGTTCGATTTTCGTACAAACATTTTAATGGTTTACCCTTTTGAACCTAGTCATTTCTATTTAAACAATCGTTTCCGTGTCATGTTTCACAAGAACAATTCTATACATTGCATGCACTCTTTGTATATTTACTGTTTTTGGAGAGATATACTTTGATAGTCTTGAAGGCGTTAACATTTAACAAAAGAGGAAATTTAAATGAGTAAAATGTGACGCCGGATAATGAAGTAAGAAACTTTTTTTTTATAATTTTTAATATATATAGGAAAAAAACTATGCATTGTCGTTATTTTTCACTTTTATTTTTTCCGAGTTTAAGGTTAATTTAAGGTCATTTTAGTTTTGGGTTCAGGTAAAGTTCCTGGTTCAATATCACCCGTGGTGTTAGATATTTCCACAGTATATATATCTTTCATTTCAACACATGAACGCGTCATATAATTAATGCCAATGTTTATTAAAAAATATATATATTATACAAAATTAACCATAAAAGCTATCCATAGGCTAAGCAAGAGAAACGAATCTTTTAATAGAATTAATGATCCATCGTTCGACAGTCTAATAAAATTAAGAAACAATTGTTCATGTAATTAACTTAGCATTCATGAATAATGAATTTTTATTACGGGTCAAGATACTTACAGTTTCAACTTCTTGCAAGTTTGTTCATATTCATCAAATGGCACGACAGTAATATTATACTTTGGAGCGAAACACGTCATACATTTTGATAATTGGTCGTAAAATCTACCATTACACATACAAGACACTAACTTTGGATCTAAAATATTTTTTAAAAAATTAAAAAAAAAAAAAAAAAAAATAGAAATAAAAATAATAATAAAAAATTTTAAACGTTTTGTACTTGCCATCAGGACTATAGGATCCATTTGTTAATTTAGATGGTGGGTATAAAAACCCGTTACAAGGCATCAAAAGATTATTAATCACCAAACAAGGATCATTTTCAGTATTACAGGATGGATCATTTTTAATTAGTGGGGTACTATATACAGTACAGTATATATAAAAAAGGTTATCAAAGATTTAATAAAGAAAAAAAAAATTTTTTTTTTTTGAGACAAAAATGATCTTTTGATTTGTTATACTTACGGTTTGGATGTTTCTTTTTGTGTTGGGGATGGTTCTGTTGTTGTTGGTCTTGACGGTGGCGGTGGTGGTGGTGGTGGTGGTGGTTGTGATTGTGATTGTGCACTATCAAAAAAAAGTGATTGATGATACATACAACATATTTAAGTATCTTTTTTTACATTTGATTATATGCGAAAAAGATTTCAATACTTACGAGGTTACTTCAAAATTAAAGCCTCCTTCAATACAAGTCGTTTTAAAATCATTAAGAGGTTCCACGGTAATATCATTTCCAGGTTGAATGAAACATGTTGTGCATCTATAAAGTAACGAGTAGAGTTCGGCGTTGCAAGCACAAGGGAATAAACTATTATCTAAAAAAATAAAATTTCATTTTCATTTCATTTTCATTTTTATTTTTTATTTTTTATTTATTTTTTTTAAAAAAAAAATGTAAGGATGAATTCATTATTACCTACCATTAGAAGAAAGTTCATATTTAGATGAAATTTTACCACTCAATACTTCAGGAGTTGGTGGAGGAAAGTATCCACCACATGGACTTAAAGTTGAATTTACCAAATTACATGGATCTTTTAAAGTTCCACAATACTTGTCAATTTTTCTTGGATTTGGCGCTTTGGGTTTTTCCCTAAAATATAAAAGTTACGAGGCATCAATTTGGATGGTCATTTGAAAAAATTCTTTTAAATAACTTACAATGCAATGGCAAATCCCGCATTGGCACAAGCGTTCGCAAAATCCTGAAAAGGTTCCACGGTAATACTGGTTCCTGGACCTTGGAAACATGTAGTGCAGTTGACTACTAAATTATAGAACTTTACACTACAAGAGCAATAATATACAGAATATATTTCAGGATCTAAATATTTATTTTTTTAAATTAATTAAATTAAACAAATGAATGAATTTTTTTTATAGGTATGTCAAAAATATTTTATTTACCACTCATGCTAAACTTATATTGGAATTGAACAGCACCACTCAATGCTTCAGGAGGTATTGTCATAAGATGTCCATTACATGGATGTAGTGTTGAATTTGCCAATACACATGGATCATTTAGGCTATCGCAATTTGGGTCTTTTTGACCATAAACGCTGGCCAAAAAATATTGCATTATCAAATGTAATAAAATTAATGATTTCATTCTTCTCCAAAAGGGAATTATTTTAATTCAATGTACTAAAAAAATTTTCGTATAAAAAATAAAAAAGAGGAAATGGAAATATTGTTAAAAATACGATAAATATAAGATAGAAAAAATTGCGCGCGTTATATATGCTTTTCATAGTGTACATTGATCAATCGATATTTTTTGAACAATTTCTCTGATAAACGGAGATCGTACTCCGAGGCATATCATGATTACTTTTTTGTGCTAGTAACACCACAAAACCATATTAACAGGTGATTATTATAAAGAATTTATTTATTTTATTTTTTTTTTTCGAAAAAGGTGAAAAGTTCTTGAATTATGTAAAATGAAAAAAAATAAAGAACTTGCAAATAATACAAACAGAGGTACATAAATCAGGGGAAACATGTTTTTATGCACAATTGATCTTTCAATATTTTCCTCTTTAATCTTTCCAATCAACAACTTTTTTTTACAGTGTGTAACTAACAACAAAAAAATTAGCCATTTCTTCTATAAATCACGTGAAATTTTCAATCCTCATTTCCTGGATCTGCATCTTCTACGTTTTTAAACAATTAAACACACAAATATAAATATAAATTTTTATTGAGATTTTCTGTTTCCAGTCGTTATGCTAATAATTCAATACACGGACCTCTTTATAACCGGAAAATTTCTTTTAACTAAAGTTTTAGGGTTTGCTTTTTTACTTAAAGAAGATGAATTTAAAGGCTCCAATGATGGGTAGACAATTTCAAGAATCATAACTAAAGGCAATATATTAATATACATGGTAAAGCTGCTTTTTTTATAGTCAAAATACTGCATAAACATAAGTAAAAAAAAAAACAGTTGAAGTTTATTGACGTCAATGACTGGTAAATGAAATGTTGTTAACTCTTTTTTTAAAAAAAAGAAAGAGGGGTTAATTAGCTTTCCATCCGACTAAAAGGGACAATAAAAAAAAAATTTGAGAACATAAATATTAATTTGGAAATTGATTTAACTAAATTTAAATCAGCATGGTGTTACACTACTTTTAATTTTTTGTAATGTAAATAACGATTATCAAGATATTTTCTTTTAATTCAAGATATTTTCTTTAAATCGTTATAAATATGAGCCAAAATTCGTCTATTTTTTTTAAAAAATAAAAAATAAAACAAATATCGTTAAAAGAGTTAAAAGAACAATCAATTTATTATTGAACATCAAAAACTTGAATTTTCTTTTCAAAGAGTCAATTAAATCTTATATACTGTAAACAAATTATACAATATGAATCCAACAAGCTCACAAATTCAAGCTTGTAACACGGAGAATTTTCCACCTTCATTTATTCCTACTTGTGCGGCCTCTCAGGATAACAACATCCTTACCGTCTCGTCTCAATCAAACCTTGCCGAAAGTTCATTGAGCGAGAACCATAGCCACGAGACTCAATCTTCCGTCAAGAGTACTAATAATCCTTTTGGAAATCCTCAAATTCCAATCCAACCAGTTCATTCTAATACCTTTATTTATCGACCACCAAATGATTATTGTCAGTACCATGTTAATTGTGAAAAAATCTCCAATGATCTTATTTTACAATTTTTAAATAAACGTAAAGAAATCATAATGCAATTAAAGGAAAACGAATATACTTTCTTTTATCAACAACAATGTAATAATCAATTTTATCAAATATCCTGCGAAATTGTTTCTCCTTCTTTTATTAATGATTGGTTAAATAGAAATTTTCTTAGCATCGAAATTGAGCAGGAGATGGTACAAGAACGATTGGTATTTACATTTGAGCAAGAAAAACATCTCGAAATTCATTTGTCACAATATTTAAATAATCGCGTCTTAAACTAAAGTATTTGTTTTAATTATTTAAAATTACTGTTTTTTTTAATATCAGTTTATTTGTTGGTATAAGTTTTTTAAATAAAAACAATAAATATTTTTCATAAATTCTGGTAAAAAAAAAAGTTGTTGCTAATACATTTAAACACGTGACACGGTGATACGAAGTAATTTTCAAAAAATATACTGGGAAAATAAAAAATATACATAAATGAAAAGATGATTTTATTTTAATGTATTTATTGTGTGCGAATAACTTTATTACGAGAACCTTTCATTTGAAATGAAATCGGAATACTTTCAGAAGATACTTAAAACGCAAAGAGATATGAAAATTACTGCGCCATAAAAAATTCGATAATTTTTTGCGAAGAATTGGATGGTAAAAAAAAAAATCCATATAGGCGAGTGGCTTGTAACAATCAATCACTCAATGGAAAAAAAAGTGGATTGTTCCATCAATAAAAGTTAAGGATATAATAAATTATTAGATTTTTTGAGAATTTCGTATACTTATTTATTAGAATTTGTAATTATCGCCATCATATAATCGGTGAAACCTGTCACACATTACAGGTGCAGCACTGTGTAGCTTAAATTGCAATGGTCGAGACATGGTTATTTATGGTTAGTGTAACGTGAAAAAAAATATTTTCACTTTCACTGAGTCAAATTATATAAGTATAATATGATCTGATCGAGGGAAAAATCGTTTATTTTTTTAAAAGATCAATCAATTATTATTAAATATATTAAAATACCAAAGTTAGAAATAACATGAATCTATCTTGTCACAATATTTAAATAATCGCGTCTTAAACTAAATTACATGTTTGAATTATTTTTATATTTCTCATAAAATCTGTAAAAAAATATACATAAATTTTTAGCTTGATGTCTTTATTAAGTAAATTTAAATAATACAAAATTAATGTTTGGAATTAAAATCGAGTTATCATTATTTTTTGATAAAATACGAAAAGACCCATAAATGTAATGATCAATTATCGATAAATACAAATTTAATAATTCAAGTTTAGATTCTCATTTTCAAAATTTCTTTTTCATTAATTGATCAATTAAGATACTCGATTTTTTCAAGCTTTGACAAATATTCGATATGCGAAAAAATATATTGATTTGTTTTTGTGGCTCAAAGTTCTTTTTCCAGCGTCATATTCGTGACTTGACTTGAATAACAATGTATTATGAGTGCATTGGAAAAAAATACTGATAGTGTATGTTATGAAAAAGCATATATAACATTCGCAATTTTTTTTTTGTTTTTACTATATTTATCGGTTATATATAAATATGCGAAGTTTTTTTTGTACATTGAATCGATACGATTCCCTTTAAGAGAAGAATGTAATCATATAAATTACAGTCAAAGCTCGTTAAAAGTGACTTTTCATTCACGATATCGAGCGAAACGGAACATAAATTTTGTGTTCCGTTCCGCTAAATGATCTTGAATAGAAGAAATAATCGATTCTTAAAATAAATTACATGTTTATCGACTGGTTTTTTTATAAGCTGTTTATCATTTCTGGTATTTTACTTTAAAAGTCATATTTAGCATATAAAATAAATTTGTTTATAAAATATAAAGTTTATATTAACTTAAAATTTTTATTTTTTATAAATTCATAAATTATTCATTAAACTGTAGAGCAGGCAAATCTTAGTAGATGCCGAAGTTTCTCCGTAATCTTGGAATCCTGAATTATACTGTATATAAGGTGGGTGAGTTTATCATTTTTTTTTTTTAAAAAAAAAAAATTTTAAACCAAAAAATAAGCATTACCTTTATGTAAATACCGTAATGCTCAGTGGTGAATTCTATAGAGGATGTGATTTTTTTCTAATAAAATTAAAGATAAAACAAATACAGTATAGTATATAACTAAATATTTTATAATATTTTAAAAACTTATTGGTAATTAATACAGTATTAATAAAATTTACAAGATATATATAATATAATGTATAAGTATTTGAAAGTTAATATAAATTCTAAAGAAAATATATTATTATAAAGTATATGTTTATAGTTAGACATAAATAAGTTTATTTTTATATATTGTAATTTTAAGATTTTAAGCTATAAATTTTAGAATCAGATAAAACATAAACGATTTTTTATTTAAAAGATTGTATAATTATATAAAAGCTTTAAAGATTAAAAACTTTAGGCCAGACAAACTCGATTTTTCGGTTCTTGTAACCGGTCACATTTTTGAAAAAGTAGGAAATGATTTTTTATAGTAACAAATATATTTCACTGTTCAAATAATAAAAAATGGATTTACTTTATTATAAAATTCAATGTTAAATAAACTAGTATTGAATGGGATGATTTTCAGACTATTTGGACCAAATAATTATTTACTACGCTTTTTCTTATTTGTATTTTGTTTTCCCAAAATATAAAGTTTTATGATTAGATGAAAAATGGGATTTTTGTATGATTAGTAATTGGAGTTACTTAATTTATATAAAATCAAGTTTGGTTGTCATATCACATTTACATATAAAATATACACCGCCAGGCCAAAAGAAACCGGACACTTCTGAACTTTAATAATAAAACATGTGAAAAAGCATTTTTTGGAATTCTGTATCATTTTATTTATTTATATAATTACTATTAAATTTTTGTGATTCACTAACTTGTTTATATATTTTAAAAAAAAGATTCAAAACTTTTAAGTCCATTGTTGTAGTAGTAGCAAATGCATTGCATACAAAAAATATATATAAGCAATTAATAAGGATTCATTTATGTAGTTTTAAAGTCTTCTATAAAATGGTCATAGAAACTTTACATTAATTTTAACATTACGATCATTATTTAGCTTCGAAATTATCTATATTATATAATTAGTTTAAATTTTTACAATTCAATGATAGTGAGTTTTTAGAACTTAAAGCATTATTAATTGAAGTTTGCATATAATCTTGCCAAATTGGGCCAGCAGCAGGCCCAACCTGTTTTACGAAATATTGAGGATTTGAAATTGATTTTGTATAAACTATTGGGGAAACGGCATTATCAATTTTAAATCTTCTTTTTGAATAGTAACGATAAAATATTAATGACCATGCTAAACCATTTAACAAGGATATAAAAATAATTACACCTTTCATGATAATATATGAGTTGCTAGCTGAAGTTGTTTCGTCGATTTGTGGGGAATCAGTAAATTCAACACCCAGATCCGCACAAGTATTTTGATATTCTATCAAGTCATCCAATCGTACATCTATATTTTCTCCACTATTTTTGATACAAGTTGAACAAGCTTCCAACTGATGATAAATCATTAGATTACAGTAACATGTTGCCTCTGTAGCTAGAATAAACAAAAAATAATATTCTTATTTAATAATCCTTGTATAAAATACGGTATGAAGATTTTTTAAACTTACCATCAAATTGAATAGTGACAATTTCTCCAGGATTAGGATGTGTAAAATTGCTTTTACATGGTGTACATGAATCATCTAGTTGACAATTTATTTGCGCGAAAATATTTGAAATATATAAGGAGAACAGAATGGACATTATTCCTCGAGTTTTAAGGGAATTCATTTATGCTATGAGATATGTTATAAGATATTTTTGTAAAGGGAAAATCGGTTTTCTTTTTTTAAAAGGAATAAAAATAAAAATAAAAAATGAAAGATTCAGAAAAATCTTGTTTAAATAAATCGACCTCTTTATTTTCATACAACATAAATTCTTTTGAAACCAATGATTAATTAAGTGACCAAAAAAATGTGGGGATAATTAATTTTTGTCTGTTGTTATTTTCGATGCGCTCAAACATTATAGATAATTCGCTTGATATGGATACCTGGTTGTACTGATCAATTATGTACATTTAACAATTACAATCATACTGATTAATTGGCTGCCAACTAATCAACCAATCATTTATGCGACTAAAGATTTCTCTGATCACTAAAAACACTTGGTATGATACGATTCCTTTACGATAAATATAATATAATATGTATTCTGCTAATATCGATCAATGTCTTTAATTTTATCTATAGAAACTCAAATTTTTCAAAATAATTAGCCCGAAAACGTTTCATGTATGAGCAAGCGCCAAGGTTTTTGTTAATAGTTAATTTTCTTAATTTAATAATAGCATAATGGCAGCGCATGTAGCAAGCGCCATGATGTAATAATTTATTTATAGCTCGCATGACCATGAATTTCAGGTGACGCACATCGCTGATGATGGACCCGAATACGATGACGAGCTGGGTTAACCTCCTACCTAAAAAGCGCTTGACAAGTGTGAATTTGCTGGATTTGACAACGAGTGGATCAAATAGAAGGTATTAGAGTATGGGCAGAGGAATGTTATTATAGAAAATATAACTAGCGTTGTCCAAATCCCGGGTAAACCATTAAAAATTTTATACATTATACATGTTTATTCTGCGTTTTCGAATATTTTAAGCATGATAATGTAATAAAGAAATGTCATTCTTTTTGGACCAATAGGATGCAGTTAATTCACCCATGGTAATATTATTATTTTATTAAGAATTATTACCGTAATCTTAATTTGAGTTTAGTTTATCTTTCTATCCATTTCAATTTTCAATAAAAATAACAAAATAGCTCGCAGAACTTTAACTACAACTCCTTTTACCAATTTACATGTTGCAACCCTTTAATTGAGAAAGCAGCAATTTATAAAGAATCATCATTTAATATTTTTGTAATTTTTTTGAATAATAATAATTTAAAAATTCAAATTTTTTTTAGACAACCCTTTCAAGAAAGAATAAATGAAATAGATGTGGATATTGTGAAAAAGCATTAGATGATAAATGTTAGTTATTTTTGAACATTCTGACGCTTTTAATTTGCTCTATTACAAAAAGTGATGTTCCCGTTGAAAATCCAGTGTAAAAAATGAAAAGGTTTGTTTGAACGATCTCTTTTTATATTCCATCAATGAAAAATTCTAGCCAAACAGCACAGCTCTATCAAAAAAAAAAAAAAAAAAAAAAAAAAAAAGATGGTTTTTAGCTCCCGGTTTTATTGACATCATGACAATCGTGCTTATTTTTTTTTAGCCAATCAAATCATTTTTAAACCCATTGAAGGAAATGAATAAATTGACAAATCAAAAATATGATTTTCCCCGTCAATTCAGATGAAAATTGTAGATTTAGTTAATGATATCAACTAGGGAATTTATCAATTTTGGTTCAAATTTGATTGGGTGATTTAAAAAATATGAAATAAAAAAAATTCCATAATATTGACTTTTTATCTAAATTTAGATTTTTACGTTTATATCACAAAAGATTTACGGGTGTACTATATCTAAACCTTCCATTTTTGCAACCAGCTTCATTGCACTAATGAAGGATGATTAGCCTTGTCAAAAAAATGAAATACTGCAAAAACTTATTCAATTTTTGAAGCGAAAAACTTCTGGTTAATATGACATCAGATGAATTCTGTAGTATATATATTTCTATCCATGGGACTAAAAGCACAAAAATCGAAGGCACAAAATGGAAAAAATTTTAAGATTTAAAAGAGCATGGAATTAATCGAACTAGAGTAAGAGATTTACACCGTTAGAAAAGATTACGCGTCATCACTATTTTTTTAAAAAAAATATTGTTTACAGTATATTATTATAGATAAACGGGAACACTCTAGTGTTGATCACGGCCCTTTTTAGGGTTAAACTGTTCTATATCTTCCGTCGACGACGAAGAATTTGGAAAATAATCGTTGTCAATATCAACCGATGATGAATTTATATTATTAATAACATATTAAGCTATTAACTATTATAAGCTTTTTTATTCAGACTCTAACTTTTGATTTCATCACATTTATAAATTAGAATAGAAATTGACCACGTTAAAGAAAAGAATCCTTGATTTATTTAGTTAATGTCTAAAATTTACAGGTATATATACAAAAATCAAAACCCTCAGAATAAACTTATATACGAATAAACTACCTAAAGAAAACAAAAAAATTAAATCATAAAAATAACCGTATTGAACTGGAAAATATAATAGTACTTGTTCGCTACTAGGATATACTAGTACCCAGGTTGCACGACGGGGACGTCAGTACTAATAGCAACCCAAAAATATGGAGCTCTCATCTACCAAGCAAAGTTCCAGTCTGTCTACCAACAATGCAAGGAGAGAGTGACTTTGGGCAGGGTTGGGAATTTTTTATGTACTAGATGATTATAATGAACTAACTATACTAACTGTACTAATCATTGTACTAATATTGTACTTTCCAACCCGCCTTTGGTTTCTATCTAATTATTTTATTTTTATTTTTTTCTATTATATTATTATTATTCCATGCCCCAAGATTTTCCTTCTTGGGCGGTTTGTTTCCCAGTTCTGTCTCTTCTGGGCGTTTGGTATCCAGTTATCCGTTCTGGAAGTTTGGTGACCAGTTTCTATCTGGTGAAGTCTTTGACCATAAAAGGAAGGTACATAACCAATCCCTCCTCCAGAACCAGTAGACCTTTTACATGCTGTTTTTCAAAGACTTCTGTTAAAAAAAAGTTTATACATATGGGAAATAAAGTTTTAAGGTTTTTTATTCATGTGTGGAGAGTGGGACACAAAAACAGAATGTGTCTTGTGAAAGACTGTGTTCGGGAGAAGATGGGAGAACTGGAAAAGAAAAAAAGGAGAAAAGAAGAAATTTTTTTTTTTTTTTTTTGAGAGAAATCAACAATTATATACTCTATTACCGATTGGTTATTTACTAAATTTAGAAATGAATCATGAAAAATAATTCAGCGGTAATTTTTTTTATGGTAAAAGACACGTTTTTTCGTATTTTTTTTTTTTTTAGCGAATAATATTTAACTTTATATTTAATTAATTATCAATTATTTTATTATTCAATTATTCAATATTATTCAATATAAATTTACTGATTGGTTTTTATTATTCTTTTAAAAATAAATTTATCAATTATTTCAAATTTATAAATTAATAAATTTACTAATTATTTTCAAATTTATAAAATTAATAATGATTATATTAATTAAATTATTATTACAAGTAAAATTGTCTATTAATAGATATAACTGTTATATTTTTTTCATTTTTCATATATCATTATAAAATTCATTTGATATAAATTAACTATAAATATTATGAATTAAAATGATAATATCTCTATTAATATTATAGAATTTATTTTTTCAAAGCTTTAATTTTTTATTATTATTAGTTTTACAATAAAATCTTATTTGTATATTAAATATATAAATGTTATTTTTAAAAATATTAAATAATATAAGATTTTTACAATAGAAAGAAGAAAAATTGCCAGAAAAATAAAAATGAGTTATTGCTAAATTTGAATATATTTCAGCTTAAATATCATATTTGATATATAAAAGTAAAATTGTTTTTATCTAATAGTTTTTTTCTTTTTTATTATAAAGATTTTATATATTATTATTAAAGTTATTAAAGATGAAGGATGAAATTCAAAAAAGGCAATTAATAACAGCCGAAATTATATTAAAATATAATGAGGGCTATGACAAAACCCTGAAATCTGAAATTAGCCGAAACTATATTAAAAATATATTAAGGGATATGATAAAATTATTTTGAGAGAGTTTTGGCTGACATCTTTAATTATTATATTATTTAAAAATTAAGTGAATATTCAAAATATATTAGACTTTACTCTTATTTATTTAAGTAATATAAGAAATATATAAATAGATAAATTATAAGTCTAACTATAAATTATTTAAAATATTAATAATAATTTTAAATTTTAAATAATATACAATTGATAAATAAGATAAATAGATATAATTATAATCCCTCTATATAGTCACCCCTTCTATAAGCACATCATATGTATAGTCACATATTTGAAATTTTTGATAGGTTTAAATTATAAGAAAAAACACTTTCTATAATCACAATCATAGTAATATCTCTTTATAAGCATATTTTGTTTTAAAAATTATTATATATCTGACTATATGATTATAAAAAGATATGACTGTATCACAAAATATTCTAAAAATTTAATAATAATAAGTTGGAATTATCATCATCACTTTTAGTAAATAAGAAATATATAAAAGGATTACATATTAAAAAATTCGTTTATTAAATAATATTTAAATTATAATCTTTAACTCTTTTTTATAAATTAAACAAATATTAATAAATTTTAATAAAAAATATTATTATTTAAAAAAATATATTAATATTATATTGAAATTTAGCAAATATAAACAATTATATAAAATTAAACATTTACAAATTAGATTTATAGCTTATAAATTAAATAGATATATTATTGTCTGAATTAAAATATAATAGATATACTTTGATATATATAGTATATTTATTTATTATATATAATTCAAGTAATTTTAAGTAATTAAATATTTCTTGATCAACAATATTTATTTGTTATATAATTGACTTATTAACTAACAAAAAAAATTAATAATAATATAATTTTTATTTTATTAATAAAATATTTTTTAAAATAAATTAAATAAT